CTTTTAGTTCAAAAATTTCAGATGATCTTATTACTTCTATACATGAGATAATGATCTTTCAATATTTGTGTGGGTGATACTTCTCATGTTTTTGAAGATTCCCAGGAAGTTTTGGGGGAATTTAATTTTTCTCATGATAGAAAACAGGAGCCCTGTAAACCCAGGAGGGTCAGATGAGCAGGTCTTCTGCATAGCTCAGTTCCTGGTGTAAGAAGAAATCGATATTGTCTCCTATCTCTCAGCTTTTAGAAAAGAAATTTAAGAGGAATGAAAGCAGCAACCAGTATTACTTAACAATGAGTATTACTAAGAAGGGAGAGAACAAGGTAGAAATGATACTGCCTAATAAAACTAACAAAAGCCAAATCCTTTAATTCTAGGATGTCTGGAAAGGAGAGATTCAATGCAGCATTAATGTGGAAAAGAAGGTTATCACTCGACCAAAAAAAAAAAAATGAACTGTAGTTACAGTCACTCAAGACTAGAGAAGCAACCACTAAGAGCATTTGGCTTCAATTCCATTGTCCCCAGAAGGGCACATTCCAGGGAACTGGTATTGTAGTTCAACAGCCTTTGAGGGGAGAACCAGAGACCAATCCCTTCACATGTAAAAAGGCTACCAGAGCAGCAACATGGCAGTCAAAATTAGCAAAAGCTTACATTATACACCATTTGAAATCCAACTTATACTTGATTTTTCATGAAGGCCTGAGACCTTGCACAGGAACTTTTTAAAGTACTGAAGAGCAGAGATGTCAGCTTGAGGACTAAGGTGCGCCTGACCCAAGCCATGGTTTTTCAATAACCTCATATGGATGCGAAAGCTGGACAGTGAATAAGGAAGATCGTAGAAGAATTGATGCCTTTGAGTTGTGGTGTTGGGGGAGAATACTGAAAGTGCCATGGACTGCCAAAAGAACCAATAGATCTGTTTTGGAAGAAGTATAAGCAGAGTGCTCCTTGGAGGCCAAGATGGCTAAGCTTCGTCTCTCATACTTTGGACACATTGTCCGGAGAGAACAGTTGCTGGAGAAGGATGTCATGCTGGGTAAGGTGGAGGGTCAGAGAAAAAGAGGAAGACCACCAATGAGATGGATCAGCCAGGTGGCATCATTGATGGCGTCAAGTGTGGCAGCGGTAGTGAGGTTGGCCCAGGATCGGACATTGTTTCGTTCTGCTGTGCATGGGGTCGCTATGAGTCAGTTCCAACTCGATGACACCTGACAACAACAACACATCACTTTCTGCTAGTGAAAAATATTTGAATTTTTCTCTGACAGATTTCTGCCTTACACAGGTTGAGGTTTTCCTAGGTTTCACTGTATTCAATAATGAACTATTTCTGAATAAATATTGTACATTATAGCAACCAATTTTATTTTGTTTTCCAAACATGGAGTTATGACAACATATCTAGTATGTGTATTAAGAAAACCAACGCAAAAATAAAATGTAAAGCTGCATTTTTTTTAATCTGCATTTTTAGTTGAAATATTTTAAACCAGATTTACCATTAATTTTGAGGCCCTAGTTGGCTACAAACTGAAAGCTTGACGATTAGAACACACGACTTAGGAGCAAAGCCTGACTCACAATCAACCTGTGAAACCCCTCTGGAGCACAGTTCTGTTCTGTTCCATGAATTGGAATTCACTGGAGGACAATGTTTTGTTTTTGACCATTAATTACAAGAGTTAGATCTTCAGAATTTGAGAGACAGGGAATAATCTGGTGCAGCTTTGGAGCCAAATTAATGGGCTTTGGATTCAGCTTTATTTCTAGTCAACTGAGGCTGTACAAGTTCCTAAATCTCTCTCAATCTATTTTTTCATCTATAAAATGGGGACAGTATCCACCTGAAATCTTCCAAGAATTCAATTAGGTATATATTCAGTTAGCTATATCCTCCTACCATTTGGTTGACAAGCAGAAAAATGTCTCTCCAACATTCTATTCAGTTTCTTCCTTCCTTCCCAGTGGAGAAAACCTAGAATATTAACTAAATTCCCAGAACAATCATCAAGGTTTTCAGTAAAAGAAAAGTTCCTGATAAGTAAGAAAATATTTTCTAAACAGTTAGGGGTGGTGCGGGAGTTCCTGCTCTCCGCGGGGTCGTGGGACACGAGCGAATACGCGGAATCGTCGGGTGAAGAAATGAATGAATACAATCGAAAGGCTTTTCAACTTGCTGTGCTGTCCGGCTATGCTCTCTAGCTTCTGCGACCTCTGCTTCTGATTTCTGCTCTTTGCTGTCTGCCCTCTGCCTTCTCCCTCCTGCTCTCTCCTTTCTCTGCCAGTTCCTTCTGCCATCTGATAGTTCTGCCAGTCCAGCTCAGCAAGTCTTTATTTTTTATACTTAAAATTACACAGTACATGCATTGACACTTTTATCTTTTCTTGAATTATTACACAGCTAGTCACAACATTCTTGCACCTGGTCCTTAGACAACTTTAACAAGAATACTTTGTGATGTTCAGACTGACCTTCAAGTTCTTTCCCAGTATGAGATAAAACTGTTTCTTCTTGTTTCTACTAAAGGATTATAAACTTTCTATCCTACATAATGTGCTATTGTTTTTATAATAAAGGAATTCATTAAATCACTTGGAAGCTATGTGGCATAAAGCCCAACCTGGCTACTTGCTGCAAGAAGTGTAGATTATTAAGTCAAAACTATCCTTCACTTAAATTCATTATTGTCTACTTGTTTACACAGGTGTCTGTATGTAGGGGTTTGAGAATTCTAGCTAGTGACTGAATGTGGTGAGGCCTATGGGGGTAGGTTAGCTTGACTTTAATATGCCATTTGCCTTTGTGGCCTCACAAATGCAGTTACTTAGATTTTCTAATGAAAGGGAGTAATTTACACAATTTCTTTTTGTATTCAATCCACCAAGGCTGAAAGCAATTGCTGCTAAACTAGTTTTTCCTAAGGTTTGTAGAATTCATAGTGAAAGCTTAGAATATTGCCAAATTATATATTTTTATAAGTAAAATTAAGATTACTCTATAGAGAAGGTAGAAAGCAACTTCTGAGAGTTATCTGTTTTGCCAGACCACTCTACAATTTACCGGAACTGTGTCAAGCGGTAAATGGAAGCTGTCCTCTACCCTCATTGGCCCCCAGCAGTGGGGGTGGGGGTGGCGGTGGAGATTATGGGTAGGAAGAGAAGGATGTGGGGAGTAGCCCCCCTAAATTAGTTCAGAGATTATAGTTTTGTCACCTTGGCTATTAATTTTATTGCTAACTAAAGGCCACATAGTACCAGATAAGCACTGAACCACAGGTTGGTTTGAAATGCAAGATAGGAGGTTTAAATTCACCAGCCGCTCCTTAGAAATAGTGTCGCTAGGGTCGGAGTCAACACAATGGCATGAAACAACACCACATCTCAAAGTTCATAAAGTTGGAGGTTTTCCTAAGTATTTTAATGAAAATACCATCTGTGACGGTAAAGAGACCCAGAGATCTGAAAATTTCCCTAATTCTGTTAAGAAGAATTAAGATAATTGTACTTGGGGCATTCAACCCACTGCCATCCACCTGTATAAGCTTAGTTGTTGGTAAGTGCCATTGAGTTGACTCCGACCCATAGCGGCCCTGTATAGGGTTTACAAGGAGCAGCTGGTGAGCTTGAACCGTCAACCTTGAAGTTCAAATGGCTTTGCAGTCTGGCGCATTAGCCCACAGCGCCACACCAGGACAGGAGCAGAAAACCTCATCTTTCTCCCGCAGAGCAGCTGGTGACTTTGAAGTACTGACCTACAGTGCCACCAGGGCTCTTTTCAGGGCGCTAGAAGGTTAAACACAGGAACCCGTGATATAGTAAGTGGACATTTTGTGTCCTGTTTCCCGGTGCTTGATGAACTGTGGGGAAGAATCCAGCATGAAAATTTGATTTGGGAAGAAAGGCTTGAGCCAGGTTTGTTTTAGACAATTACCCAGACCATCTCGGATGCCAAGTGGTCTCTGAAGATATAAAATCTAGCATGGAAGAATGATCGGTAGGGAAGAAGAAGATGGGTAACTGCCACCGGGTAGTACATGACAACAGGAGCCAAAGGACACCCTTGTGGACCCGGCAACACACTGTCCCCTTAACCAATCAAGGGAGTCCTGGTGTGGCGCAGTAAAAGTATCAGACTGTTAACCGATGGCGGTTCAAACCCACCACCTGCTCCTTGGAAACTCTATACAGGGTCGCTACCAGTCAGAACTGACTATATGGCATGTAACAACAAAAACAAGAGAAGATAAGCTTGGAAGGGGCCCGTCAGGCGCTTGTCTTCCTCCCCTTTCCAAAGACTAGGCATCCACGGTTCTGCAGCCGGTCCCGAGTATACATTCACTGTGCAATCACTAATCGGATATTACCCACCAGAACCCAGGGATGTCTCTTTAGAATTTGAGGAATTTCTTCAGAAACCAACCACAGCGGAGACAAAGCGCTCAGCACAGAGCGCGCGCAGCAAGAGGCCTTGGGCTCATGTTTATCCGCTCCCTCTGACCCGGCCAGATTTCTTTCTGTGTAAATCCGTCCCCCAAAATAATGCCGGAGTGTGGTTAAGTGGGCATAGTTTTTAAAAACATAGCACCCACGGCTCCCTCAGTGTGCAGGTTGTTGTTATCATGTGCTATGGAGTCGGTCCGACTCATACATACAGGGTTTCCTCATATTTCTCAAGCGGAACAGCTGGTAGTTTCGAACTGCTGACCTTAAATTCGCAGCCCGATTCCTAACTACTACGCTACCAGAGCTCCGGGAACCCCAGCGAATATGGCAGCAATTAGTGCACGAGCGCGCCCCGGAGAGAAACGGCCCGGCGCGTAGGGACACGCCGTCAGCCTATGCTCGTCTGCCCTCCCGCGGGACTGCCTGACGCCGATTCCTCCGCCTTCCGCCCTGGTGGGTCTTGCCTCAGCCTGCATTGCGGCCTCCGGCCTCAGGAGTCGCTGTGTCCGCCTCTGCGCTCTACACTCGCGTCTTCCGCGCTCGGGCGGGGGCGGAAGGCGGAGCACAGGCGTGGGGGGCGTTGTCGCCGCGGTGGAGGGGCGGTGGCGGTGGCGGAGTTGTGGGTCTCGGCGCGATGGCCGCTTCGGTGTTCTGCTGCCTGCGGTGTTGCAGAGACGGTGGTAGCGGCCACATCCCTCTGAAGGAAATGCCGGCAGTGCAGCTGGACACGCAGCACATGGGTAAGACTCTCCCCAGACTCAAACTGCGCACCGGAGGGTGGGCGCGGCGGGTCGGGGAAACGCTGATGTCTCCTCTCCTTGAGACCCTGTCCTGGACTCCGGGTTGGTCTCACCACGGATTTACCCCCAGACGCCCGCCGACTGCACCTTGATCCGGTTCTGTGTGTTCAAGGCTACCATAGCCTTCTCTGTTCCTGTCGTCGGGAGATGGGTGTAATGACCTCTCTTTCCACACGGATTTCCTCCGCGCAGCCTCCTCATAAGACCTGTCAGACGTCCCCAAGAGAGTCCTAGGCAGTGCCTCAGCGCACCTCCAACAGTGCTGTACTGCTGTCAGCGCCAGTGAAAACCTACGTGTTCCCAAAATGTTTTAGATCTGATCTTGAAGAATTCTTCTTCCCAGATAGTAGGCTCTTTCTATTTAACCCCACCATTTATACAGATCGATGCTTGTTTTGTTGGAGGTGATTCCTCTCACCTTAGAAAATTGTTGTTGTGTGCTGTAGAGCCGGTTCAGACTCATAGCAGTCATTGCGTGACCAGAAAGCCTCATCTTTCTCCCGCGGAGCGGCTGGTGGATTTGAATTGTTTACCTTTGGGTTAGCAGTTCAACCCGCAACCCACTACGCCACCAGGGTACCTTCAGCAGAGTACATTGCAGAATCCTGAAGTCACACCTCAGGTCACAACTTGCCATTTCAACTAAATTCCTCCTCAGTCATGTTTCGGGATTTCTATAATTTCATCAGACTGGCCTCTTCGGCATTAGTGGCCCTAGTGTGGTGCTGTAGAGTAAGCATTAGACTGCTTACTGCAAGGTTGCCAGTTCAAACCTACCTTCACTCCTTAGGGGAAAGATGGGGCTGTCTGTGCCCGTAGGTTTACAGCCTCGGAAACCCTATACAGTATCTCTATGCGCTGGAGTACACTCTATGGCAGTGGGTGTGGTTCTTCCGCTGTGACACAGTGGTTAAAGCGCTCATCTGCTAAATTTAGCCCCTGGAGAGAAAGAAGTGGCAACCTGCTTCGAAAAGATTGTTGTTGTTATTAAGTGCCATCTAGTCGGTTCCGACCCATAGCGACCCTGTATAGGGTTTCCCAGTAGTTGGTGGGTTTGAATTGCCGACATGTGGTTTGCAGTCCAGTGCTGATCCTACAGCGCTACAGTGTACGTGTATCTATATACATATTATGTTGTTACTGTTAGGTGCCATTGAATCAATTCTAGCTCACAGCGACCCTGTATAGCGTTTCTGAGAAGCACCAGGTGGGTTTGAACTTCCGACTTTGTGGTTCTCAGTCCAGTGCTTATCCTATAGTGACACTTGAGGAGTGATATTATATTACTTTAAAACCGTTTTGGAATTTCTCTTTTGGAATTTTTTGTGGCATATTTTTTCTAAATATCTTCATTAATAAATACCTTGCTTTTCATTGTAAATTGATTTTTTAGAAATGAATTCATTTCTAAAGGGAAGATACTCTTGTACAAATTTTTAATATTTCTTATGTACTTGATGGTAGTTGTGGTGGAGGTGTTGATGTGCCACTGAGTGTCTTCCAACTCATAGTGACCCTGTAAAAGATTTCCAAGGCTCCCACAGAATGACTGGTAGATTTGAACTGCTGACTTTGCAGTTAGCAGCTAATCTCATAATCCACTGTGCTAACAGGGTTTCTTAAAATATACATTATAGCTGTATGTATTCTGGCTGTACCCAAATCTGCCTTGACTTTCTAAGCAGTACTTGTTGTTAAGTGCTGTAGAATTGGTTCTGACTCATAGCAACCCTGTATAGGAATTCCGAGGAGCAACTGGTAGGTTTGAATTGCTGACCTTTTGGTTAGTAGTACAGTGTTTATCCTACAGAGCCACGCCAGGACTCCAAGCAGTACTGATGATTAATAAAACTATACAAATCACATAGATCCAAATATATAATAAGTTTGTATTTTTTAAAAAAAGAAAATTATCTATTTATAATAATCCCCTAATAAATCACAAATACCTTAGAATGTTCTTAAAATATACTCATCCCTCTGTATAAAGCATCTTGCTTGGTAACTAACGAAATGCCTTGCAGATAAGAATTGATATTGATATAAGAGAATAGTACCATGCTCAGAATTGCTTCTGAGGTTCCAACCTATAGAGTAGACTACATTGTATTGCCGAATGTTTGTTGCCAGTTAAGAAAAAAAACACCATTTATTTACATAATTCTTTGAAATATATTTCATTTAGGATGCTTTCAATTGCAAGTAGTAAAAAAGTACAACTCAAAATTGTTTAAATAATGTAGGAAATTTCTTGATTCAAGTAAATGAAAGTACAAAGCCAGCACTGGCTCCAGGAAAAATGGCAAAACCTTGCTATTTACACATTTATGGTATGACTGACAGAAACTGTCTTATTTAAACATTTTTGAGATCCAAACTTAACATTTTTTAGTCTCAGCTATTTCAGGACTATAGACTTTCAATAGTCTATGTACTCTTCAGTTCTTATGGACCAATGTACTAGAACTTAGTAGACATTTAGCTAATTTTTAGTAGATTGTTTTCATTCTCATAGACTGAATTGAAAACTGTATTTGTTTAATGAAATTTATTTTTGGTGTTTATGATTTGATTTAAGTAAAGAGAGTTATGATATCATCAAATTAGTTTATTGCTAAAAATTAAAGAGTTAAGATAGCCTACTTCTAATTTAAAAGTGTTTTAAATATTTAGTATAACTTAAGAGTACTTACTTATTTGAAGCTGCCTCGGAAACCCTGTTCAGGGTCACTATGGGTTGGAACCGACTCGACGGCACTTAACAACAACAACAACAATTAAACAGGGGAGTCCTGGTGTGGCGCTGTGGGCAAAGGCGTCAGACTGCAAAGTCGTTTCAACTGCAAGGTTCAAGCTCACCAGCTGCCCCTTGGAAACCCTGTACAGGATCGCTATGGGTTGGAATCGACTCGATGGCACTTAACAACAACAATTAAACAGGAGTTCCTGGTGTAGCACTGTGAGTCAATGCGCTGGGCTGCAAGGTCGGTTTGAACTGCAGGGTCAGTAGTTCAAGCTCACCAGTTGTTCCTCAAAAACCCTATATAGGGTAGCTATGAGTTGGAACCTACTTGATGGCACTTAACAATTAAACATTGAATATGAATTACAAATGTTCCTTCAGGAAGAAAAATAGTGAGTGGAATATTTGAGATACGTTATCTATATTTTCTTCTTTGCAAAGTACATTGTTTTTGTTGTTGTTAAGTGCTATGGAGTCAGTTCCGACCTATAGTGACCCTGTACAAGGTTTCCAAGGCTGTAAATCTTTACAGGAGCAAAAAACCTCATCTGTCTCCCCGCGGAGCAGCTGGTAGTTTCGAACTGCTGACCTTAAGGTTCGTAGCCCAGTTTGTAACCAACTACGCTACCAGAGCTTCTTGCAAAGTATATATGGTATCCTTATTTTTTGTAGACAGAGTTAAGAGTGAAACATAAGTTAATTTTGATTGTTGGATATAAAAATACACAACTTTACAAAATGTCTTCATTTTTGTTTAGGAACAGATGTTGTCATTGTGAAAAATGGAAGAAGAATATGTGGAACAGGAGGTTGCTTAGCCAGTGCGCCATTACATCAAAACAAAAGCTACTTTGAATTCAAAATCCAGTCCACAGGTTGGTGTAATGGTACTTTACTGTTAAAAGTCTTCATGGTTCTAAATATTAAGAACAATTTTCAGTATATGAAAAATAATCAAACATTCTTATTTAGAAGACTTGGGTCATAGGACCAAGTGATTTTTGTTAAATTATATACTTTTCTAAGTAATTAGATATTACAGAAATTGCCTTTCCTGTCTCTCACAAGCTGTGTATACAAAAGTATTTTAAAGATGGGACATACTGAATAAACGTCAGATACTAGCAGTAGTAATAAGAGCTAGATGCCCCATTCCATTGGTCAAATATATAAAGTTCTTGACATTTTATGTTAGTATAAAATCAGTCTTATGATCCTAAGTTTTTCTCTTAACTCTTGTTAAGATATCAGATGCTCTGATTTAGTGTCTTCTGAAGCTGTCATCATATTTATTTAGAATTCTGATAGAAGTTTAAAATCTGTACTTTAAAATTTTATGGAGTATCTTGAATCATATAGTAGTTCTGATTATTGTATAGTTAGTTGTGGCAATATTGTATATAGGGAAATGTATTTTTTTAAGGCTTTATCATATATACATATACACATATTATAGTGGCGGTGGTTGATGGTTACGTGCTGTGGAGTCGGTTCCGACTCAAAGCAACCCTGTACAGGGTTTCCGAGGCTATAAATCTTCACAGGAGCCAAAAGCCTCATCTTTTTCCCACGGAACAGCTGGTAGTTTCGAACTGCTGACCTTGAGGTTCACAGCCTGATTCATAACCACTATGCTACCAGAGGTCCTTACACATACTATATACACATATAAATATATGTACAAATATATATTTTTATATATACATAAAGTTTTAGTGACATTGTTGTTATTAGGTGCCATTGAGTCAGTTCCGACTCATAATGACCCTGTCTAGGGTTTCTGAGAAGGGGCTGGTGAGTTTGAACCTCTGACCTTCTGGTTCAAACCGATCTTGCAGTCCAGTGCTTATTCTAGAGTGCCATACCAGAACACCATATTGTATGAATAATATGGGTACAAAATAGGAAAACTATTAGTGGAGTAAATAAACCCTACTGCTACTTGAATATAATCTTGAAATTTTTTATTTGTTTTCCAATTTAGCTTTAAATTCTGCTTAAAAAGGTTTTTTTTTACTCATTTTATTTAGTTGAAAATATACATAGAAAAACATACATCAATTGAATGCTTTCCATATGTACAATTTAGTGACATTGATTATATTCTTTGAGTTATGCAACCATTCTTGCATCTTCCTTTCTGAGTTGTTCCTCCCCATTTAATGTAAACTCACTGCCCTCTAAGATTCCTGTCTAA